GGCAAGGAGCCCAGAGGCCAGAATGAAGTTGGAAACCCAAGGATGCTTACAGGGACTTCTTTCTCATTCAACATATATTTCTTGAACCCACTATGTGATGAACACTTTGGTGGGTACAGAGGAATCAGAAATAAGGAAGATTTATGATTGCTGTTCTTAAAGAGCTTACATGTCCTTCCCAGCTGCTTTAAATAAACTTAGTTTGTTCAAAAGAATGGATGCAAGGTGAGAATTAAAAAACTTACAAGCATTTGCACTACATCGTTTGAATCTACCCAGACTGTTGTACCTTATTCTAAGCTTTTCTAATTATGAACTTCAATTTGGCTCCATTTCTCAATACTGTTCTTCACATAGACCATTTTAGCAACAACTTAATTTGGACTCAGTTTTCAAACTTTGACTGTGGAAAGCCAACCCCTGTAGGACAAGATCCTCCATCATCCTAGCTCAATACACTAAGACCCAAATAAAAGATACTTTTCTCCTGGGCCCACTATCATCTTCAGCAAAGACCAGCTAGACCTGACTCTCTGCCTCATATAACCCATTAAGGAAGAGCAACCAGACTATCTTCAGCAGAACATAATCGGCATTAGTGTGCATTCATGTTCCAATGTTTTGGACATAACCAGCCAATGTTCAAATCACCATAGGCTGAGGTTCTACTAAACAAGAGATTTTAAGATGCATAATACAGAGTTTTTTAACTGTTTTTTTAGTTTATACAAATGCACTTTTTACTTTATTTTATTTTATTTTTGCTTTTTATTTTTTTTAATTTTATTTAGTTATTTTTCAAGTACAGTTTTTTGTCTATTTCTCCCATCCCAGCCCCCCCCCCCCCGTGCTCTCCACCTCCCTCCCATTTCCTCCCCCCCTAGTCCTCATCCCTGTGTCCTTCATACTTGTTCCTCAAAATCCCTCCCCTTTTTCCCCTTAAATTCCCTTCCCTCTCCCCTCTGGTCACTGCCCCCTTGTTCTCTACTTCAGTGTCTTTGTTTTTATTCTGCTTAACATCATATGTAGGAAAACCCATGTTACATTAACTCTCTTTCACCTATGCTGATTCTGACATTGAAAAATAAATGGCTAGAACCCTGTGCGGATTTTTTTTATCATTCATCCTTATATTGCTGGCATCTGTTCATAAACCAATTAAATTTTCTGGCAAGACATAAGAACAGCAACACCTATTGCTGGAATGGATGTGAGGTCACACTGCACCACATGCATTGTCAGTGGAAATGTGAAAGGTGAAATCAGTCTGGCAACACTTACTCAAATTAAGTATGCATATCCTTGTAGCCAATAATGCCACCCCGAGAATCTATGCTATAGAATAAAAGTGTCAGTAAGTTAGGATGTACATGCAATTAGCAGATTGCAGCATTAATCATAATGGCAGAAAACTGGATACAGTAAATTCCTATCTAGAGAGGAATAAATAAATTATGATATGCCCACACTATAATATTACACATCCATCAGAAGAACAAATCAAAGCTATACCAGACAACTTGAAGAAACCTTCATATAATAGGAACATTTTTTTGAGAAACAATTACCTTTCACAGTTCTGTGTGTATGTATATGTATGCTTACTCCAATATGTAGATATATATATATATATCTCCCCTGTACATGTATATAGTCTATACATGAAAACACATTACATGAATTATATGAGTGCAGAAGAATTAAACACATTAAGTTGTTGAGATGAGTTACCTTGTATGTGAGGAAGGTAGAGCTAATGCAGCATAAGCAAAAAGTGAGTAAAAAGGAGATATGCAAAAATGGAAGAGTTAAAAACAATAGAACTGCCTTGAAAATAAAAAGTATATATTTGAATTCTCTTAAAACATATCCACAACTCCATTGTCATACCCAAAAGTGCTATATTATATGTATATACCACAATGAAGTGATTTCTTAATACAATAAAATATCTAGTCAGTGTTCACATTTTTGTTGACCTCATTTTTTAAATGGTTTGCATGACTCAAGTAATGGGCCCATGTCCATACATATCAACTGGTGAATATGTCTCTTAAGTCTCTTTTAATAGAATTCATCTTTCCATTTTATTTTCTCTTGCATATTTCCCTTGTTTGGTTGTTGTAGCAAGTGGGCTGTTTGTGTACAGGGCAGACTTTGTTGCTTACATCCCCAAGGTGTTATTCGTATGCTGCTCTGATCTCTATGTCTTCCATAAATTGTTGTTTGATCAAAGTTAAGTTTGATATTTCTAGTAGGACTCTTCCATAGATTTTATTGTCTACTTTCATAAGCATGTACAAAATGTGTCTAGTTTCTCTGTTGTATGTGTTAAAATACAACAAATAAAATGGCAGCAGCCATTGAAGATCATTACCTAAATCTCTACTTCTTTCATTTTTTTTATCATCAAATATTTGGCTACCCTGAAATACAGGCTATAAAGTTGAGGCAGGGAAACTGGTAGACTCCATTCCTTTAATTATTGGTTTTCCAAATAATGAATTGGTTATATAGCATCCTCTAAAGAAGAGAAGTGATTTTTTAAATGGCATCTTTAGTATAATTTTTAACTCATAGATTAAACATATTGAAAGTGTTTTGATCCATAACATTACCATCCTTACTGATAGCAGACAGCCTTTGGACTTCAACTACAACACGAGCTCTTCCCTGGGTCCCCAACCTGCTGGTCTACACTGAAGACTTTGAACTTGCTGGTATATATCTATCTCCTGTTGGTTCTGTTTCTCTGACAAAAAACTGACTCAAGAATTATTAAACAAATAAACAAAATTTTTATTAACTTAACAGAGGTTTTTTTTAGTGTTTTAGGCACTCCTTTAGGTGCTGAGTATACAACAGAGAAGAAAATACTAAATTATTGACCTTGTAGATCTAAAATTCTGCTATTTTCACCAACTATATCCTTAAAATGGTTTGATTCATTACTTCTTTATTATTTATGCTACTTGGTTTAGTATTTTAGTTTCACATACTAGACATGTAATTGTTATTTTTCACAGTCAACATGTGTTTAGATCCACCCAATTTATTTGCTTACTATTTCTACTGCATATTGGGTCATTCTTCTGGGATAGCTTTCCTTTTTGGGGAAGTATAATTTCTAGAGGTTCCTTTAGCAAGAACCTTTTAACAGGAGAACATATTCGTCATTATATCTGATAAGGGGTTAATATCCAAAATTTATAAAGAACTTACAAAACTCAACTCCTAAAAAACAAACAACTCAATTAAAAGATGGGCAAAGGACCTGACTAGACATTTCTCCAAAGAGCACATACAGATGGCCAGTAGACATGAAAAGATGTTCAGTGTCACTCATCATCAGAGAAATGCAAATCAAAACCACAGTGAGAGGTCATCTCACACCTGTCAGAATGGCCATCATCAATAAATCAACAAACAACAAGTGCTGGTGAGGATGTGGAGGAAGGGGAACCCACTGTTGGTGGAAACGCAGAGTGCTGCAGCCACTGTGGAAAAGCTGTATGGAGATACCTCAAAACATTAAAAATGGATCTGCTTTTTGACCCCACAATCCCACTTCTGGGAATATATCTGAGAAAACCTAAAACACTAATGTGAAAGAACACAAGCACTCCTATGTTCATCTCAGCACTGTTTACAATTGCCGGGATGTGGAAGAAGCTGAAGTGGCCATCAGTAGATGAGTAGATAAAACAGCTATGGGACATTTACACAATGGAATGCTACTTGGTCATAAAGAAGAAGAAAATTTCATCCTTTGTGACAGTGTGGATGGACCTGGAGAATATTATATTAAGTGAAATACACCAGTCAGAGAAAGACAGATACCATGTGATTCTACTCATATGTGGATGCCTAATGTTCATTAGATAATGAACAAACTGAACTAACAAGAAAAATATGGACAGATTCTTGGACAGAGAGCAGGATGACAGTTAAGAAGTGGGGAGGCTGAGGGTGGAGGGATTGAGTAATAAGGAAAAAACTCATGGACATGGACAGCAGTGTGGTGATTGCACTGGGAAGTGAGTATAAGGGGGCTAAATGGTAATGGAAAATATACAATAGAAATTCAGCATTAAAAATTTTAAAATAAAAAGTATATATTTGATTATTTATGTAAAATGAGATATATGTGTGGGATTATGTATGTAGAAATTGACTAAAAATACTTTTTAAAAATTCTGAAATGTCCTGAATTAAATTACAGCAGGTCATATGAGATCAAGAGACAAGGGAAGTCCATCAGTTAACAGTCACAGACCAAAACCAGCAAAAGACTGCTCACATTCCTGAATGTATGTTGCAATGTTGAATCAACACCCAGATAGCTACCTAGGAAAATCAGCCAACCACTGGACATCAGCTCATTTTGCTTCTACCTGCACATTCTGGGTTACTACCCACAACCAATCCAGATGCATCCAACACATTTTCCATATGGGTTATTTGCTTATCCCACAACTTTCCACACTTCACATTTCCCTGCCAACCCCCTTGTTTATAGCCAATATAAATTATTTCAAAACGACTCCTACCTCTCTTCCCCAAACTCACTGCATGAAAGAGCTCCGTCAACCCCCACGATGGCGGGCATGTTTGTCTTCTCCATCCAGCTCTGCTGGCTCAAACCACATGCCTCAGGGCCTGGCCATTTTCTGGCCAGCATGTGTCTCAATAAACCCTTTTATTCAGAATAACATTAACCTTAAGCTATAACTACATTTCTAGTATTACTATTGCCATTTGTTGATAATGTGTACTATTCTTTACTGGCATAATCATACTATTAATCATATTTTGCTGTGTATAATGTGCACTTTTTTGCACAAACTTTTGAAGGAAAAATAAGGATGTGCATTATATATGGGTATGATGATTATATACCATGGGTATAATAATCCTGTGTATAATGTGCACAGAATGTGGATACACATTACACATAGAAAGTATGGTATTTAGTTCTTTCAGAAACCTCAGTAATATACCTCTGTAGACTTTTGGAGGTTATCATGGCATGAAGCAAGAAGAGATGTCTTCTCCCACTTCTGTACAACTTGATTGGCTTCTTCTATCTTCTGCTCACAACTTTTTTGAGAATTCAGCAATGTCACCTCATAAAATTCTTGAATATCTGTGAAGAAAATGTAAGGGAAGAATCAAGATGTCATGTAGTAGCTCATAAATAGCTTGTGCATGCATGTGTACATGGAAAATTCTGCCAATTAAAATGAGTATGTAAATTTGTATCCCAAAGAAAAATAATAAAAATAGAGGAAATCCTGAAAATTTCATTTTTGTCTACATGAGCAGTCTTATAGCAGCTTTATTCATAACTGCACAAAGTGGAAACAACCAAGATAGATGGCTTCCAATTGTTGAGTGGATAAACAAAATAGTAAATCCATACCACTGACTACTATTCAGTAATAAGAAGGAATGAGCTATCAAGCCATGCAAAATATGAATGAGTGTTAAATGTCTATTGCTAAGTTAAAAGGCTACATTTTTCATTGTACAGTTTCATTTTTATAATATTTTTTAAAAAATAGAACTACAGACAGTACAATAATCAGTGATTGCTAGAGGTTCTAGGTCAGGGAGGAAGATTGACTAGGTAAAGCACAGGGTGATGAAAATAATCTCTAATTATACTCAGTGGTGAACACCTCATATGAAGCATTTGTTAAAACCTATAGAACTTTATAGCACAAAGAGGAAATCTTAATGTAGGCTATTTTTTAAAAAGTATTTAGGAGGTCAGGGAATTCCAGGGAAGATGAAATGAAGAAAGCAACAAAAGAATCTAATCATATTACAAAGGTAGAATGCTAGTTAGTGTATAGTTTCTTTGTCTTTGGTTTTACAGACTCTACTCATTTTCAGGTCATCAGCTTTTTCTCCTGCTGCCTTCAGTGACATGCAATAGGGCACAGGTGGCAAACACAAGGCCCGAGGGCCGAATCATGCCCTCCACCTTGTTTTATCCTGCCCAGAACCTTGTTTCTACCCAGCAGCAGTGCCAAGCTCCTTGCCCCTAGTTAAGGAGTTTACATTCACACAGTCCTAAAATTACATTTGGCCCTTTGAAGGCAACTGCAAGGCTGATGTGACCCCTGGCAAAAATGAGTTTGCCACCCCTGCAACAGGGGAAACTGTGGGATATGGTGGAACACTCTGTACTATTTTTGCAACCTTTCTATAAGCATTAAAACTACTCTAAAACAAGTAGGTTATTTTTAATTGTCTTTTTAAAAGACATTGCACAATCACTGTTACAAACCTGCCCAAATAACCCCCAAAATGAATGCTTTCATAAATCCATCTTCAGGTTTACAATGTAAATGGATTAAAAATATATGAAATGTGATTTTGAGGACATCTGCTTCTGACACTATGGCTAAGTGCCCTGAAGATTAATGAGGCACCGGATTAGACAGGATGCATGCTTTGAAGCATTACTGATGCTGCAGCAGATGGTGTAAGTCTCCAAGACAAATCTTTCACACACACACACACACACACACACACACACACACACACCCTGAGCTGAGATGAGAATAGCTAGGAAATTGAAGTAACAGTAGTGTGAACAGACAAAAGGGATGGAATTGTTCTGAGGTCAGGTACCAATGGCAGAACTGCTATCAGCATAATGGACCTTATACCAGTAAGTAGAAGTAAGGAAGCAAGCCCTTGAACTTTCTCACTGAGTGGAGATCCCCAAGGGATGCTGAAGTCATCTGTGTCAGTGGCTCCCCACTGGCTACTGGCAGCAGCAAAAGAAAATATTTTCTAAAGTAAATCTTAAGGCTAAAGGACGCTCATAGATGAAGATTGAGGAATGAGCTCACAATCAAAGATCATCAACCTAAAAAATAAGGTATCTTTATGTGGGTGAAATTCAGCAGGAACAACAACTTTAGGTTAGGCGACCAGTTATTGTTACATTTTAAATTTTCTGACATAGAATATAGAACTATGTAAAATGTTAAAGAAGCAATAACCACAATCACAAAGATAAGCAAAAACAAGAATCTAGTAAGAATAAACAGGCAGAATGGGGGAAAGAAATGTAACTTCTAAAAATTAAGAAATATAATTCTTGAAAATAGACAACTTTCAAGATTTCTTTACATCAATTTTAAGGATGTAAATACTGTTTGCTAAACAACAACTGCAAGTTGCCAAATTTTGAAATATTAGATATATAAATTATCCAGGAATAGAAGCATATTTATCATACTTATTTTAAGGATGCATACTAAGTTATACTTCGAAACATAATGAATAGCAGTGACTTGATCATATTTAGAAAAATGCTCTTGGACAGTATTTTGCTATTAAATTTGAAAATCCTCATTAACTACAAGCCCAAATCGGACGAAGTGCTCAGTCTATTCAACTCCTTCGACTACTTATTCTCCCTGCCTAAGCAACTTCTAGAGAGGAAGAAGGTAATCTTAATTAAGTCAAACATTACTTCAATTTGAAGACAATTCTCTGACCAATATTAAAGTTTACTTCTGGTTAGTCAGCATTATGTTTTTTCTTTTTCTTTTTTTTTTATGTTCAGGTACAGTTGTCTCCATTTTCCTCCCAGCGCTTACCCCACCACAGCCATCTCCACCTCCCACCCTCGATCCTATCTGCCTTTGGCTTTGGCTGTGTGTCCTTCTTACATGTTTCTTAACCACCCTTCCCTATTTTCCCCCCATTTTCCCTTCCTACCTCCCCTCTGGTTACTGTCAGCTTGTTCTTAATTTCAAAGTCTCTGGTTATATTTTGCTTGCTTGCTTGAGATGCTTAGAAAGCAATGAGCAGATACACGACAGGCATTCACTTATAGGTGAAACCTAATCGGTGTTATTTTAGAATGCCTGACATATATCTGTTCATCACTTTCCAAGCATCTCCGTTTGATGCCCTCTCACACATCTCCACCACCACAAAGTCACCACTTTCTGTCCATTTCCACTGCAAGAGCTCTGACCCTCACCATCTCTTGCGCACCCTCTCCCCCACTCCCAGATGCCCTTTGGACACATAGAAACCCTACTTTTCCTTCAGTGCCCAGTCTCAGCACTGTCTTCCTAAAAAGAATATTTGGAGTCGCAGATCTAAGTATGAAATGCCATCATCATAGAATTATTCTTACTAAAACTCAGTTCAGCTGAGGACATGTGTGAGAGTAGGAACACCCACACAGCTACCATTAAAAGAGAAAAATGCTCGTGTGGGGAGTGATGGGGGGAGATGGGCAATGCTGCTTCTTTCCTCCTAGTCCCACAAAGTATCACTCAGATCTATTTAAGAGTTACTTCTACTCCATAAGAGAAGTTGTTGTTCACCTACCTATCCTCCATTCAACATTTCAATTCAATACATAATTTTGAAGTGCCAAACAAGGCCCTTAAAAATGAGTAAATTGTCCTAGCTTTCCATGTATTCTCTACTATCTAGCATCATTTTTATATTTAGTTAGCACAATAAATGCTTGCTAATTTTAGCTTACTTCCATTCTCTATTGAATGCTCAAATAGAAGGAAAATCATTAGCAAAGTCCAGTCTCTTCACAGTCATCCGCATGTCATTTGGACTATGTTTTTATGTGTACCTGCTTTGTACACACTGCTAGCACTTTTTATTTTGCCCCTTCCTCAATCACATGAAAAAGTTTTGCTGTGTCTAATCATATATTCAAAATAAACTATTTAAATTCTCAGACATACTCATTTTGACCTCACAATTGTTTTTATAAATACTTTATAAATTATTGTCAAATTTACAGAATTTACAAATTCTCAGACTCCAATGTAAATGTGACTCTAAATCATCTGGGGACCTTTTAAAATGAAAATTATAATTAAGGTCAGGAGTCAGACCTGAGTCTCTGCATTTCTAACAAGCTTTCAGGTGATGTCAATGGCTTCTGATCCACCAGCAACAATGGACCTAAGAAATAATGTCTCTGAAGATAGAACCTAAGGCTTTAAAGTCCCATTTCAAACATTCTCTGCTGAGTTATTACAGTCCTCTTCATCTTCAGAGTAAGGAGTGGGGTGAAAAAATCCCAGCAAGAGAAGCAAATTGGCAAGAGAAGTCTTCCCATTGGCTGAAAAATAATAATAACTACAATGTTATTGGCTAAACTGATTCAGATTCAGTTAGCTGGGAACTCAATTAAAAGGAGTTATATTTCACTATTTGCCTTAGGACACATTAAAACAGAAAAAAAATCAGCTTCTCAGTGATGTCTGAGACAATTCCTATTCAGTCCAATTTCTCTTTCTTGTTTTAATCTACATTGTAAAGATGAGACCTGGCCTTCGTAATGATGATTCTGACACATCTGGTTCTTCAAATGTCGCACAGCACAATAAAGGGAACCCATAATAAGTAGGAGTGTCTCTTTAAGCACAACCATGAAAACTCATCTACCCAAATACTTCATCTGCTTCTAAGCAGGGACAACCTGACATGCTGTGCTTATCTCAGTGTGGTGCTACTTCCTCAAAAGACCCTTGGAGTTCCTCTGAGACATATGCCTTTCAGCATCTGAGAAATTTTTTTGATATCCTCAGAAATGATGAATCGTTTTTCATTTGATTAAGATTTGATTTTTTTAAAGGGCCAAAATTCATCACACAAATTGTGAATATGGTGAGTGACAGAAAAATGGTATCCTTTTATATGACTTGAATTTTTAAAATGTGACTCAAGACATGAAATGCTTTTCTTGTATGACTACAAATTGACCTGCAATTATCTACTTAAGAACAACAAAACAAAAAAGTAACCAGAGTGCAGAATGCTTAACATATTTGTATACGTTTTCATCCATTAACTCACAGGCTGGAATAGAAGTGACTGTGGAAAGGCTCTTCTCGCTTCCTCCCATGTTGCTAGGGATAGTATGATGGGGGGTCACCTCTCCCCACTGCAGATCAGAAACCTCTTGGGAGCTTACTATTGTTAGTTCACATGTGTGTGGCGGGGGTTGGGGCAGGGGCAGCCATTGTGGCTAAAACTCACCAAAGCTGTTTAACCCCAAGAATTTGCTGAAATCAACTGAGAATTTTTGTCTTACAGCCTCAATAAAGAAATGGTCATCTTTTTCAGTGAACCTTCTTG